AGAACTGAGTTTGGACCATAGCATGGAAGGCTTGGAGCACACTCAATACCTCATCCTTATTTTTCAGCAAATATAACCAAGTCATCCATGAACAATCATAAACAAAACAACACAAATCACCGTATTCAAGACACAATAGAAATTGGAGAAGGACTTCGTACATCAGAATGTGTTAAAGCAAAAGGAACATCACCTTTATTCTGGCTCAATGGATAAGAAACTCGATGACTTTTAGTTAAAGTACAAGTATCACATTTAAAATCATTAGTATATAACTGTCAAAACACCTCAGAAAATAGATGTTTCATATACGTAAAGTAATGGTGTCCTAGATGATGCTGTCAAAGCCAAATTCTCTCTCTTTGGCACAATTGGATTGTTCATGTTATGTGCTTGTCCTGTACTAAAATCGTCCATTTAGTATAAGTCACTCTTCCTTGTACCACGCCCAATGATCTCCTTCGTGGGAGTATCCTAAAGTAGACAAAATGTAGGATAGACAACTAAAACAGAATTTAGATCCGTATTGAGCAAAATGAAAAAATGGTGGGAATTCTTCATTCAATACAAAATGTCGTATAGTCATGTATAAATAGAGCTTGGACTAACTAACAGAATATGCTAGCTCATTAACAGAACAGAACATAATAAGCCAACTAAGCTAAGTAACTAATATTCCAATACTCCCCTCTCAAGGTGGACAGTGCAGATCAGTAACAGCCATCTTGGATGGTAGAGGAAACAAAATTTTGGCAGGTAAAGCTTTGGTAAAAAGTCTGCTAACTGATTATGGGTGCGAATAGGCAAAAGTTTGATGGAGCCTTCAGTAACTTTATCACGGATGAAATGGCAATCAATCTCAATGTGCTTCATCCTTTCATGAAAGATTATTGTTAGCTATGTGAATTGCAGCTTGGTTATCAGAAAAAAAAAATTGTGCTAGAGCTGGTGAGAAAATCTGGAAAACGCGAAGCAATTGATGGATCCAAGCAATTTCATTCGCCATGGAAGCCAACGCCAGGTACTCTGCTTTGCAAATGATCTTGACAATGTATGCTACTTCTTTGCCTTCTAAGAAATCAAGGAATCCCCAGGAATACACAAAAGCATGTAAAAATAGAGCTTGGACTAAATAACAGAATATGCCAGCTCATTAATAGAATATAACAAAATATACCAGCTAAGCTAAGTAACTAATATTCCAATAATCCGCAGTAATCTGACTAACAGATAATAAATGAACAAGTAAGGTATTATATAATCTGAGATTTTGGGATAAAGTCACAGTGCTAGCTCCTATAATCAGGGAAACAATGCCATTTGCATTGGCTATACTCTTGCGCCGTTGTGGGGAGATATATGAAAAATCTGCAACATCAAACGTGAAGTGATCAGTAGCCCCAGAATCGAGCAGCCACATCCCACTATCTCCATCTCGATGAGAACTAAAAATTACATGGCTATTCGTACATGGATATGATAGAAAAGAGGTAGCTTGGGAGGTATCAACATGTGGATTAATAGAGATGTGGGTCTCCACAACAACAATAATAGCCTTGCCCATGTCTTTAACAATTCCAGCAGTTTCCCGACGTTTTCTTTAATTACTCATTTTTTGGAAAAAAATTATTTTTTGCAAAATATTGTTCTGAAAAATGGGCTCAAACAGGTTTGAAAAGTGATTGTAAGGGTGTTGGGGAGATGTTAAAAGTTGCAACCTAACCTTTGGATCTATTGCTTGGTCAAATGTGATGGCTTATGTGTGTTATAAAGTTTTTGTTTTAAATCTTTTATATATTTATGAAGTTATAAATTGAATATGAAGAATTGTGTAGCCTCTATTAAAAGGTTATTTGACAATGCTTTTTATACAAATTTGTTCTGAAAAATGGGCTCAAACAGGTTTGAAAAGTGATTGTAAGGGTGTTGGGGAGATGTTAAAAGTTGCAACCTAACCTTTGCAAAATATTGTTAGAAGATTTTAATAAATATAGATAAAATGTCTGATTGAAAAGTTGAGATCCCACAAGATATCTGATTCAAATTAATTGTTAACCATGATTTTGATTTTTATCAAATTTTTTAATTAAATCAAATAGGATTTTAGTCTAAATAATTTATCATGTTTATCAAAATTAAAACAAATGATAAGTTTACGTTAAATATGCCCTTTATATCAACACTATTAACACTCTAGCCAAGATCGTCCCATTAATTGTATGGATACGAGACCCCCCATAGAGCATGACACGAGGATCAATAGTATTAGGGATAATTTTAATATAGGTTTCAACCTTTAAAACATTAGCAGACTTTCCCAAAACCTTTAATTTATTGCACCCGTCACTTCAAACCTTTCGAAACGTTGCGGTGTGGCTATTTTAGATGATTTTCACATAAATGTCTGTTAGTTGACTAAGAAATTTGACTTTGACCGTATTTTTAATAATTTTGAAAGGGTAAGATAGTAACTTTACATTTACTACATTAAAATAAGTTAAAAATTAAATTAGAAAAATCAAAAAAAGAAAAAGAAAAAAAATAAAAATTGTAGCTCTTCAACTTCCCAGCCTATGGCCACCAGCCACCATCACCCACTGCAACCCAAATTTGCAGGGAAAAACAATACTACTTGCAAGACCAAGAGTACATAGCTGCAATGCCTGTTCTTCATCATGATAAGCTCATCATAATTTTCGTAAAGGGGTTACCTTTAAGATAGAGACCTTCAGAAGATGAAAGAGTAACCTCCATGAAATGGGGGTGCGCTCGAGTTGCCCATATCTACAGAGGTAATAAATAACATGAACTTTTCTTTGAGATCCGATCTTACAATTTGGAGGTTCCATCCATATTTTTATTTCTCTTTGGGCTCATTTTCTCTTTGTTCTTTCCATTTCCTAGACGACAACGCCGCCATTGACTCTTTAACTTCTAAACTCACGTTAGAATTGAATAAGTTAGGGTTTAAAAGTCCATATCATCGATGAAGAGAATCTGGGAAACGAGGTAGAAAGGGCGAATTTTTCGTGTTTGTTAAGGAGAGGAAATTGAGAGCGATGGAATGGGGGAAATGGGAATTCACATATACATGTTTTAAGGTAGAGTGGTGCAGGGATGGAGAAGAGGGAAGTGTGATGGTAGGTGACGTGGTCGGTGGCTGTGGGCTGGGGGAAGTTGAAGAGATGTAGTTTTTATTTTATTTTTCTTTTTAATTTTCTGCTTTTTTTCAATTTAATTTTTACCTTTTTGTAATGGTTTAAATGTAAGGTTACTATTTTACCCTTTCAAAAATATTAAAAATATGGTCAAAATCAAAATTTTTAGCCAACTAACAGACATTTGGATGAAAATCGTCTAAAAGGGCATCCGCCGCAACGTTTCCAAAGGTTTGAGGTTGCAATAAATTAAAGGTTTGGAAAAAAATCTGCTAATATTTTAAAAGTTTGGAGCTCTACTGCAATTACCCCATAGTATTACTCTAAATTATAAATGTTATGACTTGATATCCAATATATATATATCATAACCTTCTCAAGGAGTCCTTGA